TTAAACATGATGGTTCAATTGATAAGTTTAAAGCAAGACTTGTAGCCAAAGGCTATAGACAAAAAGAATGAGTTGAGTTCTTTGATATTTATTCATCCGTTACTAGGATTACCTCTATTAGGATGTTAATTGCAATTGCTTCACTGTATAATCTTATTATACATCAAATAGATGTCAAAACTGCGTTTTTAGATAGAGACATAAAAGATGAGATTTATATAGATCAGCCTGAAGGATTTGTTGTAGAAGGCCTTGAGGATAAAATATATAGACTTAAAAAATCTCTTTATGGCGTTAGACAAGCTCATAAGCAATGGCACGAAAAATTTGATACAGTTTTGACATCAAGTGGTTATGTGATAAATGAAGTAGATAAATGCATATATAGCAAATTTGAAAATAATTGTGGTGTGATAATTTGCTTAAATGTTAATAATATGCTGATTATGGGAACTAGTTTAGATGTGGTTAATAAAACTAAACAATTTTTGAACAAACATTTCGAAATGAAAGATTTGGGTGTTGTTGATGTTATTTGAGGAATCAAAATAGTAAAACATTCTGAAGGAATTATTTTGACCCAATCACATTATGTAGAAAAGGTGTTTAAGAAGTTTAACCAATACAAATGTATTCCTGCTAAAACACCTTATGATGCAAGCCATTATTTGAGAAAACATTTAGGTCCTAGTGTTTCCGCTTTAGAGTATGCTACAGTAATCGGTAGTCTCATGTATCTCATGAATTGTACAAGACCTGATATAGCATATGCTGTCGGTAGACTTAGAAGGTATACTAGTAATCCTAATAGTGAACATTAGGATGCTCTCATTCGAATCTTGAGGTATTTGAAATACACTCTAGACTTGGGAAAACATTATACCAAATTCCCTGCTGCACTTGAGGGATATTGTGATCTTAATTGGGTTTCGATACCAATGAAAGTAAATCTACAAGTTGATATATATTTACATTAGTAGACGGTGCTGTATCCTAGAAATCCACTAAGCAAACTTGCATTGTTAGATCTACTATGGAATCTGAATTTATAGCTTTAGATGAGGCAGGTGAAGAAACTGAATGGTTAAGGAGTTTTCTTATAGATGTTCCTTTGTGGTGTAAACCATTTCCAACTATTTCAATCAATTGTAACAATCAAGCAGCTATTTCAAGAGCTCAAAATTCATCCTACAATGGAAAGTCTAAACATATTCGTAGGAGGCACAATACTATGCGTCAGCAGTTTAAGGTTGGGATTATAGCTACTAACTATGTGAAGTCAAGTAATAATATTTTTGACTTGTTAATCAAAGGATTGGCTAGAGTGCTATTTCAACAAACATCGAGGGGGATGGGGCTAAAGCCTATTACATATTAGATCACCTATAACGGAATCCTAACCTTGCAATTGGATATCCAATGGTCAAGGTTCAATGAGACAACAAAGTTATTAGAGTGGTCTGTGGTGGTACTACATTGGATTTATTCCAAATCCCTCCCTATGATGCGTAGTACCAACTGTATTGATCAGAGGATGAGCTAATGTTCTTAATGCTTACTATAGCTGATATTCAATAGGGTATTTAGATGCAGTACACTATTGATAGAAGTACCTATTTGAGTGTGGAAGTGGGACCGCTTCCTATGAGAATTGAGGCGAATTCTCTAGAGCACTCAAAGAAACTGGAAAAGTTCATGGCCGAAATGAACACAATCGCGAGAACTTAATGATTATTCTAGAAATCATGTGTGTGTTCTATTTTCTCAGTTTGCAACTATAATTGTAGAGTTCAATACGTAGTTTACTCTACAGTTAACAAGCTCGATAGAATATACAAAGTCAATATTCAAGTCAGTAGACACTTAAACCTGCATGATTTCTATCATACTCCAGAGTAATATTTTCATTTATCTTATTTCTTTCATGTGGTGGATTGTTATATATTTATAGTATAAATATAAAATGTGAAATAAATAATCAAATTAGATGAAGTGCCCAAGTGGTAGGAAATGTGGCATTTGTGTGGGACGTCAGGGGTCTGGATCACTCCCCACGCAATTATTAAAAAGCTTTGATTGGGGCCTTGGGTTCTTGGGCTTCCTTGACTAAAATAAAAATATTTTTTATTATTTTATTTATTTTCGAAATTATTTAATTGGTCAAACTAGCCAGTATTTTTTGATAGTTTTTTGTAACAACCCACTACTCACAGTAATTAAATACCCACTACTCACAGTAATTAACATTTTGCATTATTCTCTAGTCATGGAGAATACAATTACTTCCAGTTTTGCCTATATAAACTTATGTCTTGGTTTGAGAAAGACACGCACAAAAAGAAAACAGAAAATCATTTTAAAAGAAATATTGTTTCTCATATTCTGAATTTTTTTATACTCAGTTTTTACATATATTCTGGAGTACCTTTGAGAGTTCTGAAAATCATTCGTAATTGCTGCACAAGTGGTTTACAATCGTTGTATCCTGGGAGTGATTGTCCATGGAGGTCGCAGCAATTATCGACGGGCAATTTCACTTTAGGACATCTTGCTGTCACGAGACTCGATCGGAAGATAAGTTTTATAATTCTACATTTTATTATTCTGAAATTGCTGCAACTAATTATTTTTCCAACAATTACCTGGTTACTATCTGTCCTATCCTCATCTGAGTTTGACTCCTTGTCCTCATCTTTGCTCAGGTGATGTTCATTGCCTTCTTAGACCGAGATTTCTTTAATGTGTTTGCAAATTTAGCAGATATATGTCCAAATCCTTCATATTCATGGCATTGAAGATGATTTTGAGTTCTCTTCATAGATGAAGTTGGATTTTTTCTTAAGTAGTTGGAAAACTTCTTCTGTTGTGATTGAGGTTTTGAACTTCTTTCGTTTTTATTTCTCTTTAGGAATATCTTAAATTGTTTGGTGAGCTTGGTTATATGTTCATCACCCTTACTTTCTTCATTCTCTTTTTCCTCCTCAACGTCATTAGCCTTAAAGGTAACTTCGGATCTTTTTTCTTTCTTTTTCCTATGGAGATGCAACTTATACATCATTAAGGACCGTACCAAATCTTTCACCTTTATGCTTTCAATGATTTTACTCTCTTCGATGACAGTTACTTTGGAATGGAATCTATGAAGTAGTGGTCAAAAATTTTATTCACTATTTTACTTTATGAGTACTTCCTCCTACAAGTATATGTCGAATTGGTAACGTCACTGAACTTGGCATAAAAGTCCTTGAATTGTTCATCGCCTCTTATTGTCAGTTGTTCTAATTTACGGGTAATCATTTGAAGTTTTGAGGACTTCACAATGGAAGTTCCTCCGTGAGCTACTTTTAGTATATCCCAAACTTCTCTAGCTATCTTGCATGTAGATAATCAAGCGAAATTAATTATAATCCACAAAAGAGAAAATTGCATTTAAAGCTTTTAAATTCCAACTAACATTGGTAAAATCAGTAGTTCTCCACTATTCATCCTTTTTCTCTTTCTTTCTCATTTTCGGTCAGAGTGGTTGCTTTATATCCAAATATGATGGAATGCCCAGTTTTTTCATCTAAGGATTGGACATAGACCTACATTCTAATCTTTCAATATAAGTAGTTAGACACATCTAAGACGGGAGGTTTAAATGATGCTCCATCCATTTCTAGGTTTTTCGTGGTTCAAACTTTTCAAAAGTGAACGTGCTCGGATGCCAAGTGTAAATTCTAAAACCTAGAAGAATTAAGAATTCATTTTAAGTATTCAATTTAAGCAGTGAAGAACGGGCAATCGAAATATCTTATGACCAGTTTATGGGAATTCTGACTGTAACATTCGAATTGAATATGTGGTTTAACGGTCTTAATTAATTGCGGAACAAACTAACATATTAAAACTTGAACACTAGATGTAACATAATCAATCTTAAAAGGAAGCATCCATGAGCCCCATGCCACGGATCAAATAATTCACTAAATCAAATAATAAAAAAAATACAATAGTCTCAATTTTGTAATTTCACAAAATTATCAAAAACAATCAAACAAAATCTAAGAACAATTCCTTTGTATCTTCTTCTTTTGATTTGTTGGAGAAGTGAAATCAAACCCTTCAATTTTGACTTTATCACCACTTTGCTACTGTACTCCATCGGAACATTGTTTGTTTTTCCAAAATTCATCGAAAAAGACGGGTGGCTTTGAATATAATCAATTAAGGCATGAGTTTGTAAGCACTAGCTGGAAGATGGCAAAGTGCATGGTTGCTAGGTAACATGAATTGAACCAATTTTTCAGTGTTAATTCCCTCTTTTTCTTCCTTGTAGAAAGCAATCAACAATATTAATTTTTCGTAAAACAATAGACATTAAACACGATAAGAGCATATTAAATCACAAACGATATTCTTGATTACATTAATAAGTTGTTTTAGGAAAAGTTAATGTACCAATCATTCTAACCTTAAATTTACCCAATTAACATGTCAGAGACTATTTAGGATAAAAAATAATTCTATACTAGTTGCAATATGATAAAAAGAAAAAAATGATCCCTGCTTTAAGCATTAAAACCTTAAAATCCACGGCCTCAACATTCTATCGAATATACTTACCATAGCCGCCCCCAAGGCACATTTCCAAGTGGTAAAAGGGGAAAGTAGAGAAATCCAGCTTTACTTGAGGCTGCCGCGTCAAGGATTTGAATCTTGAAATATGGATTTAACTCTTGGATAAGTGCAAGTGTAGAAACAACATTTTACCCTTTACCCTTGGAGACATAACCTGCGATTTACCTCCCTCACGATATTCTAGGACAGGGGCGGTGGAGGACCCTTAAAGTTGGGGTTCAACTTTTTTTTTTACTTACCATGACCATCCAATTGGTTAAAACTAACTACTTGATAGGACTTGTATCCTATTTCATGATTTTGATAATTCCCTTGACAATAAAAATTAATTCATACATTAAGTAAATCAATAAATAAATATGAAAAAATATTCCAACATGTCACCAAAAAAAGAAATGTAATTTCACTCTCCAAAATCACAAAAATATTTCACTACAATCTGACTCCAAAAAACATAGATTAAAAAACATTAAAACGTAATGCAAATAAAATTAATTAACCTAATAACTAAACTAGCATATGACACAAATACAAAAGCTTCAACTTCTTTGGGCGCGGAGCTCAACATGCAAAGCCATTGGCCGGTGGGAGCTGTTTTTGCCAGTTACAAGAGCTAGTAGCAGGCCCTGGGGTGGGGTTAGAAATGAAAGGTCCTGATAATAGCAGTAAGGCTTCGATAATGGTGATCAAACTCCATGTAGAAAGCTGTAAACCATTCTTCCATCAGCAGCCCAAGCCTCCACTTTCGCCGCCGTTCGATGGGTTGCTTCTGTGATGCGCCACCTCAAAATCATGACTGACACTCCCATTTACTTCTACATTACCTTCAATGAATTCAATATTATGTTCATGACTCAGTTCTGATTCCTCCGAATTGGCTGCGGGAGATGAAGACAGCAACAGCGGCAGTGGACTGCCAATGCTAATCGAACTTCCGCCGGTGACTAATGACATTGGCTCCGTCAATCTTATCCCATCTCGCGGCGGCGAAAACAGCACCGGCATGTACTCTGCAACCCCCGGAAACTTTGAATTCTTGAAATGCTCTTTCAATGCTTCTATTCCCTTCATCCATTTGAAATAAATTATAGGTAAGGCTCATTTGAGAAAATTGTGATCGTGTAAAACCTTGGATAAAAAACTTGTACAAAATACCTGTAATCTACCATAGGTGACTTCACAAATTTTTCTCGAGTTAAAAGCTTCCCAGCTTTGATTATGAAATGCTTTGTACAGTCTCATTGTTGCCTCTGGGGAAGTCATATTCACAAACCCATAACCCACATTGCATTTGTTTCTGTCAAAGAATAATAATAAGAAGAAGAAGAAATAAATAAATATTATAAATAATTATCTATTAATATTAATTTATTTGAGTAAGTAATTATTAATTATAAATACATGAAATCAATGGGGAGATAGACGAAATCATAAGCGGACAGTGGCTGATCATCGCCGTCGGCAATCTGCTCATTGCAGTGAATACAGTGGTTGTCCAGCATGTTCAGAAGCAGCTTCTGACTGCACAAGAAAATAAGTCAAATTATCCAAAAATAAAGTAATTTTTATATGATATGATTCCTCTCTTCTTCCTTCTTTTTTTTTTTTTTTTTTTTTTGGGGGGGCTTG